AAGTCTCGATTGGTGCCATGTCATACTGCATTGGTTCTTCGCGACTTTTTTGCCAAAAACTCGACTCATATCGTTCCGCAACCACCGTATTCGCCTGATTTGGCTCCGTGCGACTTCTGGTTATTCAGCAAACTCAAAAAGCCAATGCGGGGACGCCGTTTTGACACGATTGAGGAGATAAAAACCGAATCGAAGAAGGTCTTGAAGGCTATACCGGAAAAAGACTATTCCGACTGTTTCGAGGACTGGAAAAAGCGTCGGAAACAGTGCGTTTTATCGGACGGGGATTACTTTGAAGGGAATGAAATTGATTTGGAAGAATAAATAAAGAATTTACATTTTATAAACAAATTCACCTTACTTTTTGATCACAGTAGTACATCTTCGGTATCGCTCGGCTCTAAATTTTCATCGTAATATTTATTTTTCTCCATGTTGCTAACCATAGAAAAGATAAAAAAATGGTTTAATCCTAATGGTACAGACTTAGCACGTTTTAACTACAGACAACAATTGCTAACGCCGACGATAACGTATGCTAAAAACATTTGGCTCCGCAGCGGAGTCTTCGGAGTTACGGAACAAATGACAAATGTGTCCATAGCGGAGCCTTCGGAGCGCTAAGAGTTAACATTCGCCCGCCCAAAATTCCAAGCGGACGATTCCTAAAAAACGTGCAAGAATAGATCGAGCAACGTGTCTCGTTCAAGAGTTTCTTCCATCCCGAAATTATCGATCGAAGAAACGCGCGAACGATCGCGAGGAATTTCGCGGGCGTTAGGCATTTGTAACCGTGCGATTTCTATTCGATTCAAGGGCACAATGTGTGGTCGTGGCTGGGCTCGCGACGAGGCGGCGGTACGCCAGGAGTCGTCACGACGCCTCTGTCGCTTCCGCAGCACAGACGGGCGATGAATCTCCCCGTGGAGAACCACTACACCCACATGCAAACGGACGAGGCTCTCTACGCAGAACTGGACTCTCAGGCCGCGAGCTACGCGAGCGATCTCCAGCTACAAATGAGAGGAAGCTCGACGTACGGTACAACTTCCGGCGGGCAGGACGACGAGTACCACGAGCTGGACGCCGCGAGGTTACATCGTCATTACGGCGGAGGCAACGAGGACGGATCGTTGCAGAGGGACACGCTACGCACGCGGCACAGTAAAAGGTAAATTAGTCCCCGCAATTAAGTTTTTCGACATAGCTTATACCCGAAGCGGCCGTTACCCGGCAGCCCTGCTCCCGGAACACGTAGTCGCTCGATCCTCGAAGCATCGCGCTTTAATAATTTCGAATCGATCGACCGTGGCTAGTACCGCCTATACTCGTCTCCGTTCCTCTCCCCCCTCCCCATTCTCTTTCATTCTCTTTCTCATTCCTCTCCCTCTCTGTCCTCTCTATCCTCTCTGCCCCTCTCCCCCTCCCCCCCTCTCACTCTTTCTCTATTAAAACGATTCCGTTGATTGTCCGTCGATAACACGGCGGCTGAATAGACTATTAGATCGCCGACTTCCTTTTGGCGAGCCAGAAAATGGTCTCGAAATAAAATCGATATTTAATCTCGAACGTACCTAGTCCCCTCAGGGTTGCTTGTTAGATTGTATCGTTACATCTTGGGAATATAATTCCGTTCGTATTTGTTCTTTGAACTCTCTGTTTGCTGCCGACGACTTATCAAATTTTTCCATAGTACATAATATTATAGACGGACACAGCAGATCTTCGGGTAATTTTCAATTTCATGGGTTGCTTCGTTAGCCAGCACGCTCCGAAAGACGCACAAAGCCGGAACAAGTTGTCTAACGATATATATATATATTTAGTTGAGTAAACAAGATCTGTGTTATAGCAATTTCTTTTGTATGACAGAACAAAGTTTGATGTACTTAATAGATCGCAATCGAATTTAGTTTGTTCAAGTTCAAGATTAAAGAATTCTGTCGGTCGCATATGACCGACGTAGCGGTCGACGCGTTAAAAACGGAATGTTTACCTCGAAAGCGGGGCTCGGGAAAAATAGATTTCTGAAATAGCAAATAATGCATAAATATTTTGATCTTCTCATACTTCTAATACAGAATTTGGAAAATAAATGGATATTAATTATATCAACATATTATATCATATTATTATAATTATATTAACACGTTGATGGCCGCCCATCTTAAAATTACATCTTAAAATTTCATAGAATTAAAATATTTTAATCGATTAAATGAAACTTGCGAAGCAAAGTTATACGACATCGATTACTATTTCAACATTCTCGCATCTTGCGAATCTTAATAAAACTGAGAAATTTTTATGGATTAGCATAGAAATTAAATTTTTCACTAATTGCGTTACCCGCATACGAGTGACGCGGTAATCGAACTGTTAAATATTTAAATGTATTCGAAACATTATTTCCATATGTAACTACTATATCGAAATAAATGTATTTAACGAGACTCTGTACCTATTACACGAGAGGATACCAACATTTATAGTCAATTTACTATTTCAAAAATGTATTTTCCCCCAGCCCTGCTGGAAACCCATTATTTGCACGCGAGCACATGCGACCGTAAATCATTCTATTCACCGCGAGCAAAGTGAAAGATAAACGTTACAGTGATCAGAGTCGAAACAGCAGGTCGGAATTAATAGGTATTTTATTATACGATGCGATCTCCCGCGCTAAGCGATCTCGAAGTTTCAGCCGACGACGCGACGCGAACGCTCGAAAGAAAAAGAAAACAACCCTTATCGCCGACGCGCAATTCTTTCGCGAACGTAATGGAAATGTAATTTATTCTTTTCGCGATCGATAATTCCACGTCGAAACGCTCCCAATTAGTAACGGAGAGATCCACGCGGGGAACCGGCAATCGTCCGGCGAACGATAACCAGAGAGAGCTTTGAGTAATATTCGTATCGGAACCAGCTCTAACGGAAGAAAAAAACCCTCTAACTTGGGCTCGCGTAGGATAACCGGGTGCGGCGGCCACTCTAGATCGACGTTCCCATAACTCGTAAAAGCGCCGCATTACGGGAAACGAGACTTGTTAAAATGCACCGTTACCGGAGCGGCGGTAATCGCGACGTCGGCGCGGATTCCTGCGACCCGATCGTACATAATTAAGAGATACGGACAATCCGGGTCGTCTAATATCTCTGCACGGCGCTCATGCATTTATTCAGAAACGCGCAAACCTGTCGATCGGCCAGATACTAGAAACCTGATTCTGCTTACACTTCCAGTGCCTGAACGCGTAACGCAAGTCACCTATCTTCATCTCCGTGATATTTCAGTTCGAGGCTTCAAGTATATTCGTTCCGTACTTTATTATTCCTTGTTGTAAAAGTCAACAATTTATTCAATGCATATTTCTCGCCCGGCCGCGGTACCGTTCCCCGATATTTACTCGAAAAATTTATTTTTACGTTGGCCAGTTCTTACGATCAGTTGTTCAACCCTTATGTCAACGACCAAAATTTTCGACGTTGTTCTATGACCGTGGTGCCCGACTACCCCTAAGACGAGCTCCTACAGGGTGTTCCATAATTATGCGAACGCGCGGAAAGGGGCGATTCCTCGGGTCATTCGAAGCAACTTTTTCCTTAGCGAAAATGCAATCCGCGGCTTCGTTTACGAGTTATTAACGAAAAACAGTGACCAATGAGAGGAGAGGTCAGCTGGCGCGAGGCGGCTGAGCCAATGAGCGGAACTGAGCTTCGTGCCAGCTGATCTCGCCTCTCATTGGTCACCGCTTCTCGTCAATAACTCGTAAACGAAGCTGCGGATTGCATTTTCGCTAAGGAAAAAGTTACTCGAAATTACCTCAGAAATCATCCCTTTCCGGGTGTTAACATAATTATGGGACATCCTACATATTACGTTGCTGTTTTACACAACTACCTAAACGTTCGTTTTTATTTATTTTATATTGATTACCGCAATAATATATTATTTTCGTTAATTGTCCGGAGAATTTCGACTCCATCCAGTAATCCTTGTTCTTCCTTCCATAAGGATACCCGTGTCCTTCGCTTATTAAACGAACGTATATCGAACTCTATCGTCCAATGGTAGTGCTTCTCCGAGAAAATTGTAGACTCGAAACCGACATCCATAGAAAGTGTGCCAAATAGACAACAATATCGAAATTCTAGGTCGAGTCATAACTTCCAATGCAGCCAGGTAGAATCTATTTCGCTTTCGCCGGATAGACAAGGGTACGAAATAAATGAAACAAAAAAGCAAAACAAATAGAAAAAAAAACAAACTAACTCCGATAACAGAGTTATTTACGACTCGACCTAATATTTCACCGGGAACAAAGATGATTTCGAAGAGAATGTGAAAGAAAAGGGTACCCGGGTGCCCGGTTAGCGATACAAGGGTTAACAAAACGGCAGCGGTTCGAAGTTCGAGATACGATTTCCGAGGCTTCCTTTTTTGCTATCGACGTGTGACAAAGAATCAGGAAAAACGAAGACTCATCGGAGATTCCCGGAGGAATTCGAAAATCGCTAGTTTCCAAGTCCATCTACCGCTTCGCTCGGCGTCACGATCCCCGCTTTCGTGGATCAAACGATCTCGGCCGAATCGTAGGAAAGAGAATTGCGGGGGACGCCAGCCGGGTCGCCGAGCATGCTAAAGCAAGAGGCGACGCCTAAATCCTCCTCCGATCGAATGAATGAACGGTTGAGACGCGCCGTGGACCCTGCGGGCTCGAGCCCGATCGAGCCCGATCGACGCCGGCTAACTTTCGTAATCCGATCATTTCAGGTTACAAGAACCGGATTACGAGATGTACGAGAACGGGCCGTCGACGCCGGTGCCGCCTGGCCAGCTGCAGCATCATCACCATCACCATCATCTCCACAACCATCATCACCACCACCAGGAGCTGAGGATCGGGAGCAGGAACGGCGAGCACCCGTCCTACCAAAACACCGCGTACACCGGAAGCGACGCGGAACCGGACGGGCCGACGCTGAGCAGCGCGCCGAGCAGCGCTTACTACAGCGATCTCAGCTCGAACTCGGCGAACCAGCAGATGCCGGCCGCGGCGTCCACCAACACCGGCACGAACCTCCACGTGAGCCAGCAGGGCCTCGAGACGCCGCAGTACAGACTGGCCGCGATAAACGAGAGTTCGGTGCCCTCGGACTATATCTAGGCGACCTTGAACTCTCTCCGTTCGAGTTCGTTGTTCCTCCCTTCGACGAAACTGGAGAACCGGAGACGGTGAAAAAAATATCTGGGAAGAACCACTAAAGTGTCTCTCTGTTACCTCGCGGCGATGAGAAGTCTCGGCGTCGAAGGCCGAAGACGACTGGACCATACGGAATCGTTCCGACTTCGACGGTTCTAGCGCGAAACCTTAGACCGTATATATACTACTCTGGACACGGCGCGTGTACAGTGCGCGCACAGAAAAGCCAAGAGTTCACCGATGCGAAGACCACTCCGCAAAGATAGTTCACTGTGACGCGGCAAGATGATCGTTCAAAACGGCTGACGCGGCATCGGGCTTCAAGCTCGAACCTCGGATGCTGTTCGATGCTATCTACACGCATTCGCCATCGATCTTCGTGTCGTGCGGACTTAATTTTGAACATCTTTTTAGAACGGTGACGGTGCGCGCGCGCGTTGTCCCAAAGGCTGCGGAGAGAATGAAAATAGCGGTGGGAACGCAACTTTCCACCAGTAAGTATTTCTCGTTCACTCTTCGTTTGGGTATTAATTGAGCGTAATATTTCATATTTGATCGATCGAACTTGCTTTCTAAGAGCTAAACATTTTCGCGCGTCCGTCGATGTAGAATATTAAAACAGATCAGCGAGTTTGGAACATCGGCGCGTCACTCTTTCGATGTCGCAGATACGTCATACTGGTTTAGCTTGTACAGGATGGGACACGGGAACCGAGTCGTTTTAGAATGATTATAAAACTTTTAGATTATGCTGTATAGAAGATATTTATTGGTAACAAAATCTTCGCAAGTGCATAGCATTTCACTGTTATTCGCGTCTGGAAAATTCGTTCTGGCATGACTATTTCCGTTGATCGATTTCCGCGTAAGATTGTGACGCGCGGGGGAATAGAGTCATTTCGATGAACAATTAAATCGTTATTTTTTATCGAAACAATCGTACGCGAATATCCGATGTTCTAGCGTCCACGGCTGCGTGATGGTGACTGACAGTGAAATGCTGTGAGCCAAGGAATGCAAAAATGTGCCAAAAATTTTTGTCCACAAAATGTCTCGCAATCTAGAAGTGGGAGGTTCTCGTGGTAATTTCAAGCAACTTTTTCCTCAGCGAAAATGCAATCCGGGGCTTCGTTTACGAGTTATTAACGAAAAATACTGGCCAATGGGAGGTCGCGTACGACTGGGCCATCGCCACTGCATCGGACGGCCGGCGCGACGCGGCGTCGGCCACGAGAGCGGAGCGCCGGCCGCGCTCGCTCTCCGATTGGTCCGCGTTTTTCGTTAATAACTCGTAAACGAAGCCCCGGATTGCATTTTCGCTAAGGAAAAAGTTACTTCAAATAACCTGAGCAATCTCCCATTTCTGGATTGCGATACATTCTCGATACCTTGTACAACGAGAGAGTAATACCCCTACCAAAACCACTTGGTTCTCGTGTACATAACTCTGTACACAACGAGTTCTTTGCGACATCATGCGGATGATTCATCTTTAGCCTCCGGTAAGCTGTCCGAGGCCGTGTCCACAGCTATGTACGGTCTAAGCGCAAGATAATGTTGCTCGAAGCATCGAGCATCGGACCGCAGATTGAAAAGCGAGCTGTAACCAGAGCGGGTGGACGCTGAAGAGACGCGCCTCGACGTCCTCGACGACGCAGCCCGAAATGCGACGCGCGTCTTCCGCAGTTCCGTTCAGCAGTGCCATACTCGGAGCCTCGCGATTCGTCCGTTTCACAACGAGGAAGCGCCGCGAGTTCGATTCGTGCTCCTCTCGAAAGGATTCGGACAATGGTACCGACAGGACACGCTGCCGCGACAAAATTACAGGTTACGGTACCGCTATTACGATTGCCCCGCGACCATTCTTGTCCGACGCGAGGCGGTACAGGTTCCCGATGTACGTACGCTCGTTTTTCTTTCATTCACCGGTCGACCCGGTGAATGGAGACGTCATTATGCATTTATTAGCGGGGATTGCGCAACGGAACGTTCGACGGGGCTCGCAAACAGGAAACGTCACAGGTGGACGTTTAATAGTCATGTTTCTCAGGGAATGGACTGTCCACGGATCAGGATCGACGGCGTAGATTCGCTACAGTTTCTTTCATTCCAGCCGGGCAAAAACCGTTCGATCGAACACGCGCGCACGCGCACACATATACGCTAACCGTCCGTCACGCTGATTATTCATCGCATGTGGGAATTATTAATGGGCAATGCAAATGCCGCGATAACAGTCGTCGTGCATAAACAGATTATTAATTGAAAGGCTCGTCGTCTACTTGTATGCAGGATGGTGGAAAGATCGGGAACCGATTCATTCGTGGAAACGTTCGTTCATCTTTGACAGCGTTAAAAGAGCGTACGAATATCATCGTACTTGATTATTTTCTATAAACCTCGTATGACCGAGAGCATCGTGTCGATACGGATCGAAAATATCAATTTATATACCCCGCTCGAAAAATATTAGGACATCCGCTGATTCGGTATAAATTGCAATTTCAAATTCGGTTTGAGCAATGTTTCGTGTTCGGTACATATTCAGTTTTATGGCATCGTATCGTTGAAATTACGTACCAAGTTACAAGCTTATGTCACTTGTGCGATTAGTTTACCGATTTATTGCATTTTGTTCATTGATAACGTATGTCGAGTTCGTTTCGTACGATACGTTTTCTGAATTATGCGGAACACGCTACAAAATGCATGGAACGGAATAGAATCTGATATAATAGACAAATTGATGAAACGGGGATTAGTCCATGAAGAAATTACGAAACGCGGTGGACAATATCGTCGAGAAGACAATTTAATTTTCTCTTAGAAAATTGACGTTATTTTTACAATAATGTAGTTGTACACATAAACGTACTCGTTGCAATTTAATACAATTAACTTCGAAATAGATTGACGAAATTTCAACAATATCCTGTCGACTTCTCGAACGTCCTGATAGTTCTCGAGGGTAGTGTACAGATTTTTCAGCGGAACAGCAAATATTTCAGTCGACATCGATCGTTCCAATTCGAAACAGATCGAGTTACTCGATCGTTCGTTAAAAAAGCTCGTTCGTTGTTCGTTTCGCTATTAAAAATCTGTTCTGGACGGAGCGTGTTTCTCCCACAAACGGAACAAGCTGGCAACAGCGTCTCACGCGATTCCTCGCCGAGGAAATGGTTTCCAGCGGGCAATTGATTCCGCTCGAGCCATAATCACCCAGCCCATTAGAGCGCCGACCTATCGCTCCCGTGTATCGCGTAATGAGCATTGTTCTTATTGCCCGAACACAGAACCAGGAACACCTAAACAATGGATCACCGAGCATTATCCGGGGCCGCTACCGTCATTAATCGGTTTGCCAGTGTTGGTTCGCGGGACGCGCGAATAGCAGGGTGTGCACCACGAGCAGCGGCGAACGAGAGCGGCGGGAACACGAGAAACCGATGCGAATGAAGTCGTTTTCGGGGGACAGGTGTTTCGTAATTTGACGTTTCGAGGCTACCAGCGATCGCCGGCGGCCGTGTCCCCCGGTTTCGCGTTTTCGTATCTGGATCGCAGGACTCTCTTTTCTTCCGCGCCGGCCAGGCACCGTTTTCTTTTTCTCTTCCGTTCGCTGCGATTTCCTGCAATTTCGCTCTCCTTTTTTTCCTTCTTCTTCTTCTTCTTCGGCCCTCGCGCCGATTATCCTCCGAGATGATTTTAATTCGCCAGGGGATTTGATGTTTACGGGCTGATGTGTCATTACCAGCCGTTCGAATCACCGAACAACGTACGCGCGCTCTCTCGCCCCGCGTTGAAGTCCCTCGCTTAGGCGGTCTATTAAGTCATTAATTCTCGCTATCCTCGTTTACGCGGTAACGACTTCTCGTTTCTTGCTTCCTCGGGTCGTCGGAGAAATTGCCCGCGCTACATTTAATGAAATCGTAAAACCGTAAAAGTTCGCGTGACGCGGCAACAAAGTCCGTGTTATAGGTGCGGCGAAACGATGATCGACGTGGTTTCACAGTACGCTCGATTATTATACTCGCGACGAAGATCTCGCACATAATCTACGAAACGCGAACGTTACTCGTTGCTTCGATGTTCGCGCAGAATTCGATTCTTTCGTTGCGAAGATCCAGGAACGAGAGCAAATAAAATTCGTACAAGAAACCGGAGAAATTCTTAAGAACGGAAACGTGTTTGACGCGTCGACGATCGACGGTCGCGACGCGAATCGCGCGTTCTTCCGTTCGGAGGTTGTAAAATCGCCGGTCAACACGCTGTATCGATCAACGCGGATGCGAAAGAAATCACGGTGCAAGCGGTTGTTAACGCGCGCGTTCGAAAACGTTGATAAATAAATAAACGTGTCGGAGTATCAGCGTTATCAAGAGCGTAATTTGTCAGTCGCTCGGCAAAGGTTAATGAAATTTCTCCTTTCGCCGTGCTGAATCTTGACGCCAGGTCCGCAAAAATCAAAATACAATCTTCATGCGCTGTTACGATCGTAAATCATATAAAATTTGTGGCTGCACTACTAGAAAGAGACGGTGCGCGGAGCCGGAGCGACCAGCGCTAGCCAACTAAGCCCCTAACGAGTTTAAGACGAATGGCGAGTGTTATTCAAATGAACGTGGCAGGGTGTTTCGCAGCGTCCGCGAAGGTATTCGTCACTGAATCGTTAAACAGGAGAGCCACGGGCCTCCGCGGGCCTCAATCGTTTATCTTCGAACCCTCGTTCGCGACGGTCGAGTTAATTCGTTTCACCCGATTCGGCAGGACCCGTTTAATCGTCGCCGTCGTGTTCTCTTAATTACCTTCCCTCTCGGACAGTCCCGATTGTTCCAGCGACAGAACACGAACCCGTGGAGACGTTCCGCCCGTTAAGATTCACTGCCGCGCCCGCGTTCGACGTCCTTCGTTCGTGTCTCACCTGCGCCGTATCCGTCCACGCCCGCTAGACAGCTTCGTAACTCGACGATTTTACTGGATTTCTGTGATACCGTTTCATCATTCTCTCGAACACCGTCGACAACGCGCGAACCGTTCGTTCTTGAAACTTTGTTCATTTCTTCTCGAACTTAGAAGATATTTTTATATCTTCTTCTTATATATATATATTCTTAAACTTAGAAGATATATATATTTTATATCTTCTTTTTATATCTTA